CTGGTCCCCTGAGGAGATAGAGGAGGCCAGGAGGAAGATGTTCAACACAGTCTTCCAAGGAGCAGCACCACAAAAACAGCCCCCCAAGCAACGGCACACAAATCACATTGTGACCCATCACACTGTCCATGCCCAACCTGCTCCAGTGGGCCCCAGCCACCAGGCTGCCAGGGTGCCCCATGGCAGTTTAGTGAGCAGGCATACTGGAGTCGTATCCACTTCGGCTTGCATGTCAGCCGATGGTCACCCGGTTACCACTAGGGTCTCTTATGCTGCCCCAACCATGATCCCCCCGAAATATCAGACTGTAGTCAGCAGAACAACACAGGTAGTGGCCAGGAACAATATCCCCACTACTGTGCCCAGCCTAGAGTCTGACAAGACTGTTGCTCTGAGGTTGGGCAACAGTTGTGTCATTAGCACCAGCGGCAGAAGTAGCAGTAATAGTAGTAGTTGCAGTAGCAGCAGCAGCATTAGTAGTAACTCCTCCATTAGTAGTAACGGCGGAGACCATGGCACTAGGAAACCAATCAACAACAGCAGTTCCAGCAACAACATTGTCAGTTGCTCCTCCAACATTGGCAATAAAGATGATTGTAGCACTGACAGCCATGACAAACCAAACAATCAAAGCAACAGACATTTTAGCATACCATCTGTCTTGGAAGGCTTCAGCAGCAGCAGCAACAAAGGTAAAGTGATCATGAGTAACACCAGCAAACCTAACGTTATCACCTATAACATTCATAGCAACGGCAACACAGCTAACCAGGATCAGTACCCATCAACAAAGAGCGATGATAACAGAAGTAACAACAATATCCACAATGGCAGTATTAGCAGTGGCTACTCCAGCACTAGAAATAATGATAGTGTCAACAACCTGAACCTTGCTAGCAAAGCCCAAAATGAAAACACCAGCATCAGTGTCATTAGCAAAAGCAGCAGTAGCAGCATATCTATCATAAAGGATGGCAAATGCATCAAGGAGGTTCCTATGGAAGCTATGTCAGTCCTGCGGCAGCTTATCAAAGAGGATGACCATTTTGGGGACGACAGAACCTGCCCTGAAGTAAAAGTTGACCCCATCAAGATCAACCTGCAGAGGCTCATGGTGAGCGATCCAACTGCCAAACCTGGTTTAGAGGCCTTCCCTCCAGAGCTCAAGTCTGAGACACATGTCTCAGACCCGTCACACCCGTCCAAGAAAAGCCCCCATCAGGTGCACCTTTTGAGGCAGGCATTCACCAGCACACGGTGGCCCAGCAGCCAGCAGTACGAGGAGCTGAGTATCATGACGGGCCTGCCAAATCCAGAGGTGGTCCGCTGGTTCAGCGACAACCGCTACATCCACAATAACGGCCAGCTGAAATGGCTGGAGGGCTACCAGTGCCTACCAGCAGAGGGAGAGGAAGGAAAGGGCCACAGAGACTCCGACGCAGGGTCACTGATCGATCCTCAGGAGGTTAATAGGAAACTAGTGGAGCAGGAGGTGAACAAGCAGCTTGATGGAGGACCTAAGGGGCTGCACTCAGGGCAGCTGGGATTCTGGTGGGGCGCAGACACACAGAGGCCGCTGCTGAGTGCAACAGGGCCAGAGGAGACTGGGCAGAGAGGGAGAGCTGTGGAGACAGGGGAGGCAGAAGGACTACATGGTCACTGGGCAGAGAGGGAGGAGGACCACCCTCAGCCAGTTAGCAGCCAGGCCTTTGGGGAGCAGCAGGCGGAGGCCAGGTGAGTTCTATCAGTTACCGTTGTCTAATGAAAATGACTCATACCTTCATGGAATTCATGTTAGGTCAGTTGTTTGACTCTTTGAGAATGATGATCATTTTTCAAAGGTTATTATTGCTCCTTGGCCATCATATAATATGTCAAAACTATACTGTTGATTTCTACAGTAGCTAAATATTGTTCTGATACGGGATATTATTTATTTAGGGCTTTGTAAACTGAAAAGTTAAGTTAAAGAAAAAATGTAAGTTATGTTTGTAGTTGTTACTGTGTGATGTCTGAAAAATAAACCCGGGGAGGGAGTGTGGGTACTCATACAGAGTAGCTTATACAGACAATCAAAGGTCTGTGTATTAAGAAGCTATTTTTAGAAGAGTTGGAGTCTGGGCCATTGAATTATAGATTAAGAGAGAGTGCTAATATATTTGAATAAATCATGACAATTGTCTTTTGTGAGTCAGCTGTTACCGAAGTCTCTGATTTCCTACTATCTGTTAACGGTGCTGATTCTAAAGATACTTAATATAACATGTATTCATGGAAAATGTAATTTAATCAGAACAATATTGTACTAATGCCTGTTTGTTTTCAGGGATCATCTGAGGATAGAGCTTCTTGAAGTCTGATGGAGTGACCCAAACCTATTGGGGGTAAAGGATGGGTTGGCTGTCCGGCTTTACAGATGGCCATGGTCTGGTGTGTTCATTATGACAGCAGATGTGATTGTAGCTGGACCATTGGACTGTAACTGTGAATATCCCCCCCCCCCCCCACACACACTTTCCTCTTATACCATCACTTCCTGCCATCCTCTAAAGAAAGAACTTCTCACCTTTGAGTCCTGTGATCTTCAAGCCTTTCTTCATGCTTCTTTGTGGTCATGTGGGGAATGGTATGGTGCATATAGAGGGCGGTAAGCCGGATGAGACAGAAAGAAGGCGCACACTGTCTGGACAACTGACTTGAATGAGGGAAGATGGGAGAGGGATAATGAGATGTACAGTATGATTGAAACTGCACTATAGAGGCTTTTTGTTGACTGGACAAAATGAGAAGTGTCTAGGAGATGTTATTGTTGGCTTTGTGATATTTTTTACTTTTTTAGCAACCAGTACTTCAATGCCTTGAATTTTACTTTTCTCCGTACATTATAAAAATACAAAAAATAAATTCTTAATCTTCTTCTATAGTCACTGTAAGTCCAGAAGCAATTGAGCCTTGTTTTATTTAGCTCTGTATAAATGTTGGTGATCACTTAACAGTTCAGCTATACTCAACAAACAATACAATGCACTAGCAGACAGCAATGCTAAAACCACACTGCCCCAGAGTAAAGATATTGACAGAGCGCTGACAAAATCAATAAACTGCCCTGGCTTCATCTGCAAACCCAACCATAAAAGAAGCCTGTCACGCAAACGTTGCCTTAGTCTGTCCATGCATTGATATGACCTGTCTGCCCATCACTTATAGCTTTCCAGCTGCTGTGATCAAAACAAGGTGCCAGTGCATTAAAGTTAAATATGCTGCTTCTGTATTCTTGGAAAACATTCAGCTGTAATAATATAAAATAGAATTACTGGCAAATGTTATAAAATAAAGGTCAATTTGATCAAATGCCCTGGAGGACACAGAGGGTAGATCTTGTGCTAGCTAGAGAGCCAAATGAGATCTTTTCACTCTTCTGAATTTTCATATAAACGTACAAAGTCACTACATGAATCCTACAAAGCTGCATCTCTGATAAGCTGCTAAATAGCGAAGAACGGTGCTATACCATCCAAATTGGAGGCGATCTCCTACCAGCAGTGTATGCACTTGTGTTGAATGTTAGCAATTTATTTTGGTTAGAAAAATAAAGATGAATAGAAATCTGGACTTGTGTTATGATCACTTTAACTTTTATGAAATAGTTTGATCATAAAGCACTGTTGTATCATCCTTTCTACACTTCTGAATCTTTACAGAATAAATACTCATTGAGAAACGGTTTACTTGTTTTTACTGCCACATTAAAAGCGATCACACCTGTAGAATGATTATTATAGAACATGAAATTTGCTATTGAATTCAAGGTGCCATTGGATATTTATGTGTGTATTCATTCATTTACATAAATTGCATTGAAGAATTGGCAAACATGCAAAATTGGCAGGTTTTCTTTTTAACACAGGTAGTGCCATCTACTGGTAGAGGACAAGTTGATACACTTCTCTCTTAACTACATGCCAACAAGAAAAATCAATTGGTTACAGAAATTTAGGTTTTGCTGCCATGGCAGCAGATTTGTCAATAATCATTCTTTCCAGTGTACTATATTGGCAAGTTGTAATCAGAGCCATACAAAAATTGCTTGTGTAGGCCTATGTCAATATGAACAGCTTGATCTCAGACACCAAAATCTAACAAGGCCTAATCACTAGCTACTTTCGATATGTCATTTCACCCGTCCTTTGAATGACTTTCATACTTAAGTCTAGGGACATGAACAAATGCATAATAGTGGGTTTAAAGATGTAAGATATTTAGATACCTTTTATGATAGAGGATAACAATCCTAAAATCTGCAGATGTTCGCCTTACTGATATGACATTTATTGAATAATGCTTAACCCATTATGCATCATAGAATGGCTACAAAATGATTTTATCAGTCCAGTCAGCCCCAGTTACTGCTCATGTTGAATGGATCCCAGCTCGGAAACATGCCCTCACGCGGAAATGGACCGTCTTGGAAGTCTGCACTCATGTTATACTATAATAATAATAATAAATCTTACGTACATCACTTGTATGGTGCTTGACATCTGCACTCAACTGGTCTCAATATGGTCTTGGTCACCCTGCACACCGCAGTCTGTCAGAGGCACAATTTGCAAGCTTAATCTTTTCATTAAAAATAAAAGATGTCAAGGGTTGATAAATAGATCCAAGGTGTTAATAAAGAAGTCCAAACATGAGAGCCAGGCCTGTGCAAAACCCTGCTTGATCCCTCATAGCGACTGGTCCGAAATCAACAGGCAGTGGTGCTTCCTGGGGCCTGTTGTTCTCAGGACAGACAGACTGAGCTAGTTCAGGGAACACAGGAAGCCTCCTGAAACATTACCACAGAACATATTGAGAAATGTTGAAAAGTGACTGTGAGCAGGCGGAACATACTAGTGACAGATCCAACTTCAGTGGAGGAAGTTTGACAAGAAAAAAACAATCCCTTTGGTGCAAGGCCTATCAGTCAAGTGCAGCAATAACACAAAATAGACCCCAAGTGTGGAGTTGAGGGGTTTTATTCATTTTCAACCTACAATGAGCATAAAACAAGAACATGATTGGAGGCTATGACAGAAGAGGTTGAAAAACAGGAAAAGGAAGTTGAGCTTACCACTATAAACACCACTTTCCTCTGACACTAGAGTGGAATAAAATTCACATTGAAACTCCTGTTAATGTTCTTCGTCCTCAGTCTTTAACACAATTTAAAAAATAACTGCCTAAATTGTAACAGATTTGTATATTTTTTTGGCAATGTTGATGTCCCTCACATACCCTTCTGGAAGAAAAAAAACATTTTCCATTAATTAAAAATAGCATTTTTTTTTTTCAAGTAACAGATATGAGAGTTTTTTTCCTCTCAGAAACAAATCATTAAAAATTATTAAGTTAAAACCAAATGAAGACTATGCAGAAATATTCAGAGGATGCTGGCAATGCAAGGTGTGAAAAATTAAACGATTGGTTCACATTTACATTGAAAATCAGTCCCTGATAGATACTGTAAAACAAATTAATCACATTCTGCCTGCTTATGTAAATATTGACATGGGTGTAGCATTTTCTCCTTGCGTGTCAATGCATCCTCTTTCATGGTACAAAATCAACATAGTCCAGTTTAAAACATCACACTCACCCAAACACAGCTTTCATGTCTCCCCCCCCACAACTCACACCTAGAGATCACATTTCATTTCCTCAAAGGCGCGTGGGTGTACATCAGGATTTCATTTGATTTAACTTTTCTCTATTAAAATATAGAATCCATTAATAATACATGGGAGGGCTAAAAATACAGACCAAGTGAACAAAAAAGAATAAATCTAAACGATACACAAAGCAGTCATTTTTTGTTGTTGAATACAGTAGCGATAGGACCCCAGAGTTCAAAGTTCAGACACCTTTAGGTCGTGCATGTGGCTGAAGAGGAAGAGAGAAAAGGTAATCCACTGGTTCTCATCCAATCATTGGGATAACCGCTTCACCTTTGGGTGTGGGTATAGTCCTGCCCTTGAATCTGACCTCCAACCTTCAAAGACTAACCCACATCGTCCCCCCCTCCCTCCAGCTCATCTGTAATGGCCTATACATCCTGACACCCGACCTTCTACCTCACCATGCTTGTTGAGTGCACACTCATTATAATTTCCTTGTCAGGCTGGCCATTTGGTGTAATCGGTTAAGCTAAAAACAAGTATCCAATAAAATTACAATACAAATCGCATAATTATAAAACCGCAAACAGGATTTAAAATTCATAGTCGTCATCTGCCATGTCGATAGCCCAGGCAAACTTTTCACGCTGAGTTTTGTTGTAGATCTTCTCGATAGGGATGCTCCACTTCTTACACCTAGGAGACCGCAGAAGCAGAAGGATATTAGAATGATCAACCCTCCAGGAGTTCAGACACTCAAAACTAAACCCCTCAACACACTCACTACTTTTAACTAATCAAAAGACACCCACATATCCTGAGCAACGGAGTATGTGGGCCAAGGAACAAGCAATGGAGAGAGCAAGACATTGTGCATGATGGTCAACAAGTTTGCGGTCGTGTCTCACCAGGCCACAGAGATACGTGGATCCAAGTAGTTGAGTTTGGAGGTGCCCAGGGCAATCTGCTTGTTCTCCTCGCGGTCAGTCGCCTGCACCTCTAGCTTCATCAGCTGCTCTTCTAGCCTCTCCACAGCCTTCTTCTTGGTCTCCACAGCTCTGGGGGAGCAAGGGAGGGAATCAGCTACTTCTACATCCCAGCGCATAAGTACCAGTGGATGACAATCATATCCACATACTTACTTTTTGGACTTCTCGTCTCTCCGTACTTTGAGGTCAGCCTTGGCACTCTTCACATCCCTCTTTGCATCAGAGAGCTGGTCCTTCTTTGCATCAATCTGGTATAAATATTATCAATGTTAATAATATTGAAACTAAGGCCAAGTATAGCTGGATTCTTACTATGTGGCTATAAAAGACACTGCCAATACAGAGCCAAGTATTCCCAAAATAACAAAGGGAAGAGTATGCCTCCAGCGGACATCAAACAGTTAACTCTAAAAACAAAATCCCAAATCGTAGCAATAGTATTTGTTTCCTTTTTCGCCATCTGTCAGGTCGACTGGCCGTGTCCTCCCCGTGACTCACTTTGGTCTGGAGGTTCTGCATGGACTTCTCAAAGGTCTTGGGCGGGGCCCTCTGATGGTTACACAGGATGGCCACGGCTCTGTTGGCCCTGTTGTACGACAGGATCTTGGCTGGAAGGTTCTCATCAGCTACAAAATAGGGGAGAAAATGGACATTGCTATGACTCTTGCTATAGACTTTACACCATATTACAAGTGACCACCTGCACACAAATATCTACAACATTCTGGAGCTCTCATGTCATCAACAAGGCTCCTCCCACCTCTGGTCATACCAATCCAAAATCTGAGATAAATATGTTTTGGGTAGGTTGTGTATTCTTAGAACCTCCGTCCCTGGGTGGGGCTTCATGGCCGTGGGTGACTTACGGCTGGTGAGCTCCTTCAGCTGCTGCTGCAGGGTGATGGAGGCGTTGTAGGTACGGAACACTTTGGCCGTCAGCCCGTCCATCAGCTCCTGAAGGTGCTTGTTCAGAATGGAGGTCTGCAGAGATGGAGGATGGAGAGGAATGCCACCATTAAATATGACTGATGGCAAGAGGGGCAGAATTACAAGACGATATCCAATTCCCACACTTCAGTGTTTTTCCCCTCACAAGGTCCAGCGACATGACTAATACGCTGCAATTCACAAGTAACGTGGATTGAAAGTCCTTCCTCACAAGTATTTTTTTGTTCTTACATTGAGTCGGTCGAAGAGGTCGTCCTCTGGCTGCTTGTTCTCCACGAACAGCTGCAGATTCTTGAATACCTAAGGAGGACAGAATATTTACAACTCATAAGAATAACAAGGAGCAAGCATTCTCTGGAGTGAGAGTAATCTGGAAACCACTGTAGTTCATATCGAGTGAAAAAGGACACAGAAAATGTTGCGATGAAATGTCAATTCTTCAAGGCCTGCCTTACCCTCTTCTCCACGGGGACTTTGTTGTAGTAGCGGATGGAGTCTTTACCCAGGAAGTCAAACTCCACCACGAACTCCTGGCCGTCCTTCTCGGGGTACAGGTTGATGTGTTCCACCCTGAGGGAGCAGCAGCCCACCGTGTCTGCCGACTCCCCTTCCTCCTTCTCGTTACCTGCTCTCAGAGCCAGCTGCGGCACAGCACCACAGGGAACATGTTACAACCAAACTTGGGGCTGTGTGTGTGTGTGTGTGGAGCAGTAGTCTCACCTTGTCGATGAAGTAGAGTGCCACGGCTCTCTGTCGGATCCTCATCTCTTTGGACTTCCAGTCCTCGCGGTACTGGTTCCTTAGCCGGTCTACACACTTCTTCAGATTTCGGGCCGTCTCATACTTCTGCCAGTCCTTCTCTCCCTGAGGACCAACACACACTACCATTACAGCAATCAGGGGGAAGAGACAGGGGGCACAACAATGAAAAAATATGTAGGAAATAAACAGAATCGAGAAATGTTGAATGGGATTGCAGCCTTTGGCGTCTCAAGAGTGACTTCATTAAAAGCTAACAATACATCTCCCGCCCCCACAATCACTACATCCACCATGAGCCATAATAAAGATGAACCTGCTAGTCAACCTACCTTGATTCTGGAGCTGGGGTTCAGCATGATGTACTTGATAGAGCCTTGGATGTTCTCTGTCCACGACACCAGCCAGGTCACCTTGTTGTCATGACGCACCTCCTTCCATTTGGTGCCAGGGGGAGGCTTGGGATGCTTGGAGTCCCTGTGGGAGAGAGAAATAATAAAGTGGCTGAGTCAGAGCAAGTATCCACGGCGATACAAACACACACTAATCTGGTCCAAACAAGCAGTCCATCGGTCAATGTAATCAAGAGAAGGGGATAGCACATTGTAAGCCTTTTCTTTCATTATGTTCATATTGCCACCTGCACCTAGGACTAGGAGTATAGCGGTTCACCCACGGTTCGTATGTATTGCGGTTTTGGGGTCATGGTTCGGTTTTGGTACAGTGGGAAAATGAAATGCCAACAGTTACTGTTTACATTTTTATTTTTGAGAGCACCATCAGGAACAACACTTTGTATTTTCTTAAATGAAAACACGATTACTCAACACAAAAAGTACAAAATGCATGTGAAATTAATATGTAACATGGCTCAGACATTGTATAGGGCTACGCTATAATGTTTTCTAACAATAAGAAATGATGCGCTCGTGTGACTCATAGCACGGTAGGCTACTTCTCATTTCCCACTCCAGGGTAATGTGATAGGCTGTCAATGTTAAGTAGCTCTCTGTAGCCCTGGAGGTCCATCCATCTGTACTAAGCGCAACACAGGGTGCAACCGCCAATTCATTGCTATATAAGCAAGCTGAAGTTGTCAAAGGTACTACCCGTTTGCTGAAATGGGTGCGAGTACGAAGTTCGTAAAATGGCCCGAGCACTTTCATGAGGTGCTGAAACCCCTATTCTTCTCAACCACCGAGAACGGGAGCATATCCACGGCTATAAACATACCTATCGCTCTTGTCATTTCTTTGGCCTGGTCAGAATCAGCTGTGAAGGGCTGCTTGAATGTAGAGGGGATACTAAGTGGTCACAAAAAGATAGTTTGAAATGTGCCAATTAAGACTAGAATTTTGATTACAATGTGCGCATAGGCTCTAGTTGTTTTAACGGAATAGCCTGAAATGTTTTTTTCAGCTCAGATTTACTCAAGAGGCATAGCCTATAGGCCTAGTGTTCTTTTAAATATATATTTTATGTATTCATTCGGGTTCACAGTGCGGACCGAACTGAGGTCCCCATACCGAACGGTTCGGTACGAATACGTGTACCGTTACACCCATACCCAGGACCCTGTCACTCACTTGCTGCAGTTTATGATGATGTCCTCAGGACGGATGCGGCGTTTCAGCATGCCCATCTTGGGGTGGTCTCCTCGGCCACGGAACAGGCCCGGGGGCTCAATGCGAAAGTTAGCAATGCGCTCCTTGTGGTTGTCCATGATGCAGAAGCCATACTCCTGGAGGAGGCGTTCGTTCTCCACTTTGATTTTCTACAAGAAGCAGAGAACCAGAGTCAAACCAGTTAGATCTTGGTACAGTTGTTGGAACACAGGACCAGCCTGAAGATTCAAGGTATTACCACTACTGCCTCATTTAGAACTTCACTGGACAGTCGTTGTCTGAAGGGGGTTATAACATTTGAAAAAGGACAAATGTTTTTAAAAAGCACAAAGTATTGTTCTAGCTCACCAGTTTATCATCTTTAGTCATGGCCTTTCTGGCCTCAGACTGAGCCTTGAAGTATTCCCCCATCTCATTGAAGTTACACTTCTTCAGGTCTGTGATCTTAGACTTCTCCTCTGAGGTCATTTCCTGTAGGAGAGGGAACAAAGGTAGACAAATCATGATCGTGTGTGTGGAATTACAGTTCCAAATCACAATTTCTAAAAAAAATATGAAATAATTCTAAGAATTTAAATTGCAAACCCCCCAGGTCTACAGCCTTGAACATTCCCTACCTTTCTCCAGTCTTTGAAGAAGTTTTTCCGGAAGGCATCCTTGGTAGTGTACTCATGGTCCAGCATTTTGGCAAAGAAGGTGGCCACCTCCTCAGCCTCTGGGCTGAGCTTCATCTGCTTCCCTACAGAGGGATTTCAACAGAGACTTGTTCAACCAGCCAAACCCACCATTTCCACTCAGCAACACCCACTCATAGAAGGACCAAGCGTCATAGAATTAGCAGCACAAGTATTAATCTTACCATCATAGAAAAATCGGACTTTGCTGGGAAGAGGTTCGTATGGTGCTGCCATGACTGGGCCTTTATGTTCCAGAAACCTCCATTTGGAACCGTCTGTTGCCCTCTCCTCTTCCCACCTGTAGTCCAACAGGGTACAACAACGTGAAGTGATGAGAACGAAATGGTTGATGCACAAACTAATTCCTTTTTTCCAACAGAGATACACAGAACATCCATATTTTAACCATCACCATAATGAGCATTCTATAACAAGGAAGCAGTCAGTCAGTGTGCCTTCACAAAAGCTCTGTGCAGCAACACAGCTGGAGGGCAACTATGAAACTCACCATTTCCACTTCTCCTCAGGTTCCTTCTTTGCTTTCTTTTTCCCGTCAGCAACTTCCCCTTTCTTGTTTTTTTGTGTCTTTTTGGGCTTGGTGTCCTTTACAAGAAACAAAGAACGCATGAGTCTCCTTTCTCGCAACGGATCATTGAAATAGACCCAATATAAAATCAAAAGATTTCCACTTACCTCGTCTTGTTTCCTCTTCTTTCCCTTCTTGTCCACTCTGTCATTTTCAATTTTAATTTTTTTGGGCTTGAATTCAGTTCTAAAACAACAAAAACATCTTATAAGGAGGCCTGACTAATGGTAGATTGAACAACTATCTTCGTCTTCTCTACACCAAACTACACAATAGTCATACCGAAAGGCAGCTGTAGAGTTCCTGCAAAGCCAACAATGATCAAACATTGTCATTTCCCAACAGAATGAGGAAAAACCAGATGGGGTTGGTCTAAACATGGCAACTACAGCCAACATAATCTTTATTGTACAAATGTAACAGGGCCAAAGACTAAGGAAGAAGTGGGCCAGTTGACAGAGGTCAGTACAGATCTACTCACTCGTCATTGTCACGCTCTCTTTTCAGGGACTTGGGAGAGTGGTAGAAGTCATCATTGTCCGGCTCCGTCTTAATGCGATGAGGGCTGGTGATAGAAATCAAACATTTACATTAATTGTGCATTTGAAATCAAATATATAGGGTTCTATCAAATCTGTTGTGGAAAACACGCACAGAATCCAGACATTATAACAGAATTCAACCATTTTAAGAAATGTATTGAAATTAGTAGGAAATCAACTAAATGTATTGAACTTATTAGAAAACTCATTAAATTTGCCCAAGTTAATCATAAGACATGAACAACATGCATCCGTGATTCGTATTTTCCTGCAACGGCACAGGAATGCCCCCATCTGTATGCATGTGTGCAGTGCACACATGTCTACACTGTGTAGACCTTAGCAATTATGCTAATAATAACCTTCTGGTAGAGATGAGACTTTCTCAAAAACCTTCTCAATTAAATGTTAACTACAAAGTAGCCCATGTCTAACTGGCAGAATTATATTATTTGCATCAATCAAGCAGCAATTTATTTAGTAAACTCTGGAATCACATGAACGCGACAGAAACATTGCTAACCATCGCTGCACTTGAATTAAAGGGTAACTGCACCTAATATTTTTTCAGGACCCCAAAAGTGGTCTCCTGGTGTGGTTTAAGCATTGTTATGGACTTAGAAAAACAACATGGGATGTTCTATTAAAAAAAAAAAGTGTGATTGAGACCAAAAACAAGGAAAAAACTGGGGGAAACAATGTTGGGAAAAACAAAGATTGAGGCAAAATAAATAACACATTTTATAGGGCCCTAGATATGTAACCAGTAATTGTATGCAGCACAAATGTTAAATGTACAATACATAAACTAAACCTACCTGGCAAAGCCATTCTCTTTTTCCTTCTTTGGCTTGATCTGCAAGATGACAACAAAAAGTAAAAAAATGCATATTTTGAAATGTTAAGAGCTATGCATTCAGGTTCACTGAGGAAGAGACTGGACAAACATTCGACAAACTGATTGACACATCTAAACCAAAATGGCAGCAATGCATCCATCTCCATTGGACAATTAGCACACCTTCTCCTCCTTCCTCTGGTCTTTTTCCTTGTGTTTGTCCTTATGTCTGTCTGTGCTGCCATCTTTGTGTTTTATTCTCTCCTTTTCCTTTTCTCTGTGTTTCTTTTCCGAGAACTCCTTATGGTCACTGGAATTTCACAGATTACATAAACATTGCATCAGTTATCAGACTGAACATACCAATAAGGAAATCAACTAAGAGAGTATGTACTACAGCAATAAAACAGTGAGGAGTCTCTTGCCCTATGGCCAGTCATACACACCCTGCTTATCAGACAAATGACCATACAAACAGCTACGTTAAAAGCTTGACAAAGCAAATGTGTGGGTGTCAATTACTGCCCCAGTGACGCACTACGTTTCACCTACGCAACCCTGCTTTAAAAAACTGGAGAGTCATACCTGTTGCCATATTTTGATTTCTCACGCTCCTTGTCCTTCTTGTGGTCCTTGTGTTTGTGTTCTTTATCCTTGTACTTATCTTTATGCTTGTGAGAATCTGCAAAAATGAGAAAGTTATTAAAACGAGGACTGACGAAAAAGCTAAATAATGACCATTGTCAACATTTAGGCTACAGAAACATTCTGTAAAAATATCCACTTTCCCAACCCTTCTCTAAACCCAGCAGGTGAAAACATTCAATACTAAGCACAAAAGAAAACATCTACCTCACCAGGAACAATGAGTAAACACTACTCTTAAGAAACACAAAACAAGTTCAGACAAGATTCCCATGATGAAAACTAAAGTTAGTATAAAAAAAAAAAACAGGCAATGTAAGAAAAAAAACATGCATCATACAAATATGTGCACAAAAAGACATGGAAAGATTCTACAGCGTTGTAATGTATGAATGACTGACTAGATAGAGCAGGATAGAGTGCCTCTTGGCTCAGGAAGTGCAAGGCCAGAACACTCATCTAACACCTGGGTGTGAATCTGAATACTGACGTCGGATTGTATGTGCATGCGTGTCAGCTGGAATACATTACTGGTTGGTAGTGGTAACACAGAATAGGACCATCTGCAGTCAACTTGAGGCACATTTGGATTTGGGGCCCTTGTTCACGACAAATCAAAACACTTAACAGAATACCCTTCACAAATTAAGTTTAGTCAGACTAGGGCCATGAGGATATACATTGGTGCCAACCTGGGGAGAATATGTGGCATACATGGTAAGACAGCACCTCCTAGTGCCCATTGACAGTTGAGGTTAATTTTTCCTCGGACACAGTATCAACATGGATGAAGAGAGGGAGCAGGTTCTAACAGGCCTAGTCCATCTGCTTTCATTTAACCACACTCCTACAAGCAGCAACAGTAGCTAAATCAATGACAATCTTCTCTCCTTAGTTGACACATACACAAGACAGGTACTTCACACAGTCAAACAAGAGTTGACAGCCAAAGAAACATAATACATTAAATGACTTTCTCCTAGTCCCATCCAGGCATGTTTTGAAAAGTGTGAGTCTTTAAAATAGGGACTCAGTCACAAGGCTCTATGCCCCACAGCAAGCTACTGGTTAAGACACCAATAAACAGATCATGGTATTTACCCTTCCTCATGATCTGACTTCACCTATGGCAGGCAAATGCATTTAAAACCAAAGAGGATACAGATGCAAGATTAAATTAAGATATTTTGGCAGAATCTATTAGTTAGGGGTTGCAGTAGGAATGTAGGCTATAGGTCTTCAGAGCCATGAAATAATCAAATCTAAATTTGTATCGTGGTATTTATAAACAAACTCGACTGAGGATTCTTTGGGACAAGCCCTTGCAGAGCTTGGACTGATGTTTGCCTATAGACCTTGTAATGGATGTGGGTAGTGGGTATATCATTACAGCGTTTCTTGTAGATCTTAAATCTAACAAATAAGAGCAAATCGGTGACTGGCTGCTTTCACTTCAGGGCCCCATGCTCCATTACTGCGGAAGACAAAACAAGGAATAAATATATATTGTATACAGGGACAGCGCTTAACCCCTGAGTCTCCATTGGACCCTTCTATTCTATGTTCTAACAAGGTACCAGGTTTTGTGCTTGACGTAGGCTGTTCTGACCAACAATGGATAGCCTACACTACATTTACATTTTTGTCACTTAGCAGATGCTCTTATTCAGAGCAACTTACAGTAGTGAGTGCATACATTTCCATACCCCCCCCCAATGGGAATCGAACCCACAACCCAGGCGTTGCAAGTACAAACTGAGCCACATGGGACCATATCAGAAGCCCACTATGTGATGTGAGAGCCAAGACGACAAACTAAGATATAGGCCTAGTATTCATACAAAATCGCTGTGAGCAGGGAATTTTTTTGAACCAGGAAAGGCTGTTCCTTGCAGGTTTCAATGCAGTGTTCTGACAACTTTATATTCGAATTGAGACAGCGATCGCTTCTTTACATGTCAAAAGCCCACTCCCTATCTGGACTTTGAAACGGATCCACACAAAACTCATCAGGAAAGATTATTAGTTTGTCCAAAGCTGTAGAATGTTGAGGCAGCCAACCATGCTGTACCAAGGGCTAGGAGTGGAGTCCTTGTCCATAAGAAATACATTGTTGTGTGATTAGTAAACATGAATTGACATGACCTGTTTTGAAATTGTTCAAAAAGAGAATCTTTCAGAAAAAAGTGCTTTACTCTGTGGTGAGGGGAAGCATGTAGCTTCTGAAACCTCAAAAAATGTAATTAATACTTGTTAAATACCACTGCTGGGGGTTTAACTTGTTAGGCCTCTGTGGCCATGTGGTTTAGGCCATGCCAACAAAGCTATCAAATCAATAAATTCAGTCATCAAAAATTGTGTTAGTAGTGTATGTCAATGTGTATTGTCAAACTTGCACCACAAATCTGTCAGGGGATGTTATTAAAATCCCGCATTGTAGTCTACAACTAGCTAATGTAAATGTATTTCTATATGATACAAAATTATCCATAATAAATTCGGATAAGACTATACAATAATGTTGTTTAAAAGCAAAACGGGTCCATCAGATGATTTTACTTCCTCCACCGCTGGAAATCATGTCTTGATACAAACGGTCCTGCGTGTTTCCCCTCCATATCACAGCCATCTGCACTTCAGCTATGTTTTCTACAGTCAGACCGCTAGACAGAAAAAAGAAAATGGCGCAGAGACTAAGTTCTCAACCCCCAAACCCTTACTTTTAGACTCGGAATGTGGCATTTTAAGCCGGTCAACAACAAAATCTAATTTGGCATACCAATAAAACACCTCCAGTTCTTTAAGAATTTGTGATCAAGTCGAGATTTTAAAATGTCTAAAAGCTATTAAAGAGCCACCCATTTGAACAATAGGCGCTTGTGAGTGAGGCAGAGGACTTAGTCTCTGGACGCCATTTCTGTCCTTTGCTAAACTAGCTATCTGTCTGTTAGCGAACTAGCCCATGTTAGCAGGTAGATAACGTTAGCTAACTAACTACAGTGCGGACACGTCAGAATTTGGAGAAAATCATTGTGACATTTCAGTTTATTGACGTTACACTTACCATTGACCCGAGAGCCGGAGTCTATCTGCAAATTGTAAAACAAAGATTGGTTAGCTAGCCATGTTTCTTGATTGATTGCTTACTAGCTGGATAACTTTGAACTTGTTGGCTAGCTTACTGGCTAACGACTAGCTAGCTAGCAACCCTGCTGATGGTTGGCCAATGAGACTAGTCTGATAAAATGGATAACGAGCTAGCGCACAGTGCCTTTGCCATCGTTAGCTAGCTACAAAGTTCACAGTTGAATGGACTATCTGAAAATCACAATATTAAAAGTATGACAAAACAAGTATTTCTGTCACATTTGTTGCAATTATATTCACTGTCGATTGGCTAGTTAGCCAAGTTACCTTGCTAGCTAACGTTAGTGTAGCCTGGCTGCTGAGGCAAATAAAACAGCAAGCGAGTTTAATGTTCTACAAAGCTCATTCGCAATGACACGGCAAACGATTACAAATATTACCTGGCTATCGTTGTGGGAATGATCTCCACTCATTTCCAATTATTAATATGTTAAAAGCAAAGTGTTAAACGTGTTGGAGGAAAACGCCGGCGAGGTGATGCGGGCAGAATGAAGAAAGAAACAGTTGTGTAACAGACTAAGTCCAAATTGTATGTAAGTGCGCATGCGCATGTGTTTTTAAATGGGTGGGTAAAAGCTGTTGGCCCGCTTTTAGCCCCTCCTTCAAAACGTGCTCTTCGTCCCACGCGTTCAGTGGTCCTACGTAGTTTCTACAAAACATGCATACGTACTTAGGCCTATCAGAAATTGTGTAATATAATTTTTGTTAACCTAAAATATTGTCGTATAATTATAAATACAGTTTATACAGGTGTTATACACATTTTCTGTATAAATAGCCTCTAATATATATATAAACAAACCATAAATGTCTCAATGTTTGTTTTATTGAAAAGCTGTTAGTGTTGTAATTAAGCAATAAGGCCCAAGTGGGTGAGCTGTTCTTATGCGCTACGCATCGCGAGGTGCCTGGATACCATGGTATATTATCCATGGTATATTGGCCATATTCCACAACCCCCCGAGGTGTGTTACTGCTATTATAAACTGATTATCAACATAATTATAACAGTAAAAATAAATATTTTGTCAGCCAATCAGCATTCAGGGCTCGAACCACCCAGTTTATAATATCAGTATTTATTGCATTTACAATTTGTCTAAGTCCTATCATCAACCGATTTCAGCCAGTGTCGATTTACTGCATTTTTGGTATGGAATGTTTGCATATTGGCAGTTAATTTGAGAAATTATTGGAATCATTCCACTTGCTAGCTAGCTAATAAACATACTGTGCAGATCAAGTTTCAAGTTTCAAGTTTTATTAATCTTATGTACGGGATATACATGGTATACACAGTCCAATAAAATGCTTACTTGCAGGTTCCTTCTCGACAGTGCAACAACAATAATAAATAATACAACAAGAATACGAACATAAAGTAAATGTCTCAGTAGAATAGAATAGACATTTTAGCATAAGTATAATACAGGAAGGCACAATTTATAGTCCAATATTTACACGTGTTTTGAAGAAGGGGGGATTGGGGGTCAAGTGTTTAAATTGTGCAGAATTAGAAATCATAATAAGAGTCTGGTAGCAGCAATTGTGATGTGTGTGTAGCATGAATGTGTGTGTGTGTGTGTGTGTGTGTGGATGTGTGTTTGTCTGTGTGGGTGTGTGCGTGAGTGAGTGCATGTGTGCGGAGAATCAGAGCAGGTGGTCATTCCAGTTCAAGTGTTCAGCAGTCTGATGGCTTGTAGATAGAAACAGTCTCTGAGCCTGTTGGCATCTTGTGGCTGGGGTGTGTGGGGTCCTTGATGATGCTACGGGCCTTCCTCAGGCACCGTTTTGAGTTGATGTCCTGGATGGGTGGGAGCACGGTCCCAGTGATGTACTGGGCCATCTTCACCACCCGCTGGAGGGCCTTGCAGTCGTGGACGGAGCAATTCCCTTACCAGGCCATGATGCAACCGGTCAGGATGCTCTCGATGGTGCAGCGGTAGTATTTGGAGAGGACCCGGGGTGGTATAGTCTTCAAATTCATTGTTTTACACAATATCTTATCACAGCACATCGGCTGACCATGGTTTACCAACTCCCTGACCAAAATGGCTGACCTTTACTGTCATAAGACCTTTTATGTCCATTCTAGTATTCTAATTCCTAATTCTATGCAACACAGCACCTAACAGCACACACCAAAGGGCCATTTTTATCAGATAGAGGTTCCGTTGTGCATTTGAACTGAATAGATAAATAGCTGCAACATATATTTTTCTTTAGCAGTGCCAATTTGAGATGCAGAAGCAACTGTGTAGAGCCCATAGGAGATGGAATGGTGATTTGATAAATAAATTGAGGCTGTTCTGGCCCCTGTGGAAATACTGCAGTCCACCACCACTATCTGAGAGAATGTCCATAGGATGGAACTGTCATGACCAGCCAGGTCACCCGTGATACAAGTCAGTATTCGATGTCCATCTATGTCTGAGGACGTTGGGAAATGAAGTGGATACTGGCCACTGATTCACGGGAGCCAGACATGTATAGCCGTAATGGACATTTTGATGACCTTATTTGACCCTTTCTGTTGCTTTTGAGACACGGTTCGATCCCACCTTGGGGCACTACTTGTTGAGTAAATGAAACATGAAACAATCACAATACAATAACTATTGGTCACTCTATTATGTATTATTATTCTAATATGTATTCCTTATAGAATTGTGTCAGTTATTAATGATAAACCTTTAAACTGCACTCTTCCTCCCCTCCCTCCCTATCTCTCCCCATCGCTCTATTTTTCAGCTCAAGATGACAAAACCTGCACACATTCCGAGGGTTGCAGGTCTGCCGACTTCCTCTTGGTCACACATTTTATTCGGAGAAATATCCAATAAACCCCCAAACCAAAGACATTGCTTTAACTGTGAATGTACTTTATTGCAGACATTTTCCTCAAATAAAATGGAGCATACATAAAATAAACAAGTTATTACAATTTATTTACATTGGGTCTAATGTGGGTATGTGAGAGTGAGTGTGAGAGAGAGTCATGTTTTGTAACTCAGACAAAAGCACACAGATATTGTGTGCAGGTGTGGGAGAGTGAGAGAGAGGGAGAGAATATGTGTGTGCATGTTGTATTTTATTTTTCACCATCTCACCTAACCATGACCTCTCCACCAACTGTGAGTAAGCACAACTGCACATGTTCGTTGTGGGAAATGGATAACGCAATCTGTAGGCCTAAATATCTCCAATCCTAAAATAAAATGGAGCATACACATAAATAAGTAATTACAATATATTTACATATTTACATTTTTATAGTCATTTAGCAGACGCTCTTATCCAGAGTGAGTGCATACATTTTTCATACTGGCCCCCCGTGGGAAACGAACCCACAACCCTGGCGTTGCAAGCGCCATGCTCTACCAACTGAGCTACAGGGGACCTACATACTAATGTGGGTGTAACATTTATTGACAATTTTGATACCTTCTGGAAACAAAGCTTGTATTATAAGGAGGATGGGATCCACCCAAATCATTTGGGTTCCTGTATCCTTTCACAGCATTATAACATTTACATTTGACATTTACGTCATTTAGCAGACGCTCTTATCCAGAGCGACTTACAAGTTGGTGCATTCACCCTATAGCCAGTGGGATAACCACTTTACAATTTGTATTTTTAATTTAATGTAATTATTTTTTTATTATTTTTTATTTTTGTTGGGGGGGGGGGGGGGGGGGTAGAAGGATTACTTTATCCTATCCCAGGTATTCCTTAAAGAGGTGGGGTTTCAAATGTCTCCGGAAGGTGGTGAGTGACTCCGCTGTCCTGGCGTCGTGAGGGAGCTTGTTCCACCATTGGGGTGCCAGAGCAGCGAACAGTTTTGACTGGGCTGAGTGGGAACTATGCTTCCGCAGAGGAAGGGGAGCCAGCAGGCCAGAGGTGGATGAACGCAATGCCCTCGTTTGGGTGTAGGGACTGATCAGAGCCCGAAGGTACAGAGGTGCCGTTCCCCTCACAGCTCCATAGGCAAGCACCATGGTCTTGTAACAGATGCGAGCCTCAACTGGAAGCCAGTGGAGTGTGCGGAGGAGCGGGGTGACGTGAGAGAACTTGGGAAGGTTGAACACCAGACGGGCTGCGGCATTCTGGATGAGTTGTAAGGGTTTAATGGCACAGGCAGGGAGCCCAGCCAACAGCGAGTTGCAGTAATCCAGACGGGAGATGACAAGTGCCTGGATTAGGACCTGTGCCGCTTCCTGTGTAAGGCAGGGTCGTACTCTCTGAATGTTGTAGAGCATGAACCTGCAGGATCGGGTCACCGCCTTGATGTTAGCGGAGAACGACAGGGTGTTGTCCAGGGTCACGCCAAGGCTCTTCGCACTCTGGGAGGAGGACACAACGGAGTTGTCAACCGTGATGGCGAGATCATGGAACGGGCAGTCCTTCCCCGGGAGGAAGAGCAGCTCCGTCTTGCCAAGGTTCAGCTTGAGGTGGTGATCCGTCATCCATACTGATATGTCTGCCAGACATGCAGAGATGCGATTCGCCACCTGGTTATCAGAAGGGGGAAAGGAGAAGATTAGTTGTGTATCGTCAGCGTAGCAATGATAGGAGAGGTTGCGTTGAGACAATTACTTATCAATGACCCAAGTCCAGCTCATTTAATCCCTACCATTGTGTCGCTGAGTTGTCATAAGGCTTCAGCAAATGTACATTATCCTATGGGCGTTGGAAGACACAATGTAAATAACCAAATGTATGTCCCTCTTACTGCCCGGAATGCCTCTGCTGATCCTACAGCTATTGTATGCAGTAATCATATGCCTATGAACCAGAGTAAAATGTTTTGCACTGAGGTGGTGTGCCCTAGTAGGAAGTCCACTGTGTGCATCTCACCCTGCACTAATAAAAATAACTTGAGTATGTCTACCTCTGCTAAGCTTCCCAGTAAAGCAAGAAAAATAACCAAGCATCCCAGAAAAGTGTTAAAAATAGCATACATTAACATAAGTAGCTTAAGAAACAAGGTTCATGAAATCAATAATTTGCTAGTAACAGATGACATTCATATTCTGACAATCTCTGAAACTCACTTAGATAATACCTTTGATGATACAGTGGTAGCAATACAAGGTTATAACATTTACAGAAAATACAGAAATGCCAACGGGGGCGATGTTGCGGTCTATATTCAGAACCACATTCCTGTAAAGCTTAGAGAGGATCTCATGTTAAATACTGTTGAAGTAATATGGCTACAGGTTCACCTGCCTCACCAAAGCCCATTCTGGTGGGAAGCTGCTATAGACCACCAAGTGCTAACAGTCAGTATCTGGATAACATGTGTGAAATGCTTGATAATATATGTGATATCAATATGGAGGTATACTTTCTGGGTGATTTAAATATTGACTGTCTTTCATCAGGCTGCCCACTCAAGAGAATGCTTCAAACTGTAACTAGTGCCTGCAACCTGGTTCAGGTTATCAATCAACCTACCAGGGTAGTTACAAACAGTATAGGAATGAAATCATCAACATGTATTGACCATATCTTTACTAATGCTGCAGAAAT